TTTGTCCTTCATTCTGTCTTCACTGTAGAGCCGTGTGATTCTCAGCCCTGTGTGAACGGTGGAACGTGTGTATCAGAAGGTCCAGAGAGCTATCACTGCATGTGTCTGCCTGGCTATGGAGGGGACCCACACTGTGGTTTGTTTGTTGTCTGTATACTTACTGAGATATTAGAAATGCTTTAACACAGTGATCAAACTAACCAAAACCTCCATCCCTCCTCAGCACCCATGTTATCACTGGACTGCTCGGTGGATTTGCTCTTCCTGCTAGAGGGCTCTGCCACTCTTACCTTGGAACACTTCCTCCACTTCACATCCTTCTTAAAGCGCTTCCTGCAGACAGTGATTGGGTCTGACAGCCCCAGTAAAGTCGGCCTGGCGGTGTTCGGTGGAGAGACTCGAGTGGAAGCCCAGGTTGGCGAGTTCAAGGGGGACCTGATGGGTCTCCTTAAAGCCGTGGAGGTGCTTCAACAGATAGGTGGTGAGACTCGGACAGGCCAGGCGCTTCACTATGTCACACGTCATGGCTTCGTGAGCTCACCGATCTTTGCTGATGTCACGGATGACCTGCCTCGCGTGGTGGTGCTGCTCACTGCCACTTCTGCTGTTGATGAAGTGTTAGAGCCTTCAAAATATGCACGGGACAGAGAAATCTTCCTTATTGGAGTGGGACCAGACACCTTAAAGGAGCAGCTGAATAATATCACAGGAAATCCCCAGAGGACTCTCACCTACAAATCACCTGATCAGTTCTATGCCAAGGTGCCTGAGCTCAGGGCCAAGATCTGCACTGTAGATACGCAAGGTACGTACCGACACACATTCAGTGCATACAGTATGCAGATGGATATTTTCTCTTTGTAAATACAATAATATAAAAATATCTGAATAGTCATTAAGAGCTAGTCATTCCAAATGTGAATTGCACTGCAATTTTATGACCATTCATTTTGAGAGAACTTCATGGACATCCAAGAAATGCACAAAAATATATTTAAAAATAATTGAATCTGTTAAAATTCTTGGATCATCACTTAGAAACTTTATTAAAATGTAAAATATGATAGTTCATCTTTAAAAATCTCCCAATTAGATCAAAAAAGCACTCCAAATGTTGCAGAAAAAACACTTTGTCTTCTGAGAGATGTTTTGCATGTTTCAGTTCATACTAATCAATAATAATTCTTTGTGTGTTTGATGTTCCAGGTTGTCTTGGCCAGGCGGTAGACCTGGTGTTTGCCCTTGATGCCTCAAGCGGTGTTGGTCGTGATAACTTTGCCACAATTCGTGACTTTGTGCGCAGCCTCACCGTCCAGTTTGACATCAACCGCGATGTGGCTCAAATGGCACTCGTGGCCTACGGTCGGAGACCCATCACAGTCTTCCACCTGGACACCCATGAGACTGGGTCTGCTGTGATCAAGGCAGTAGCTGATGCGAACTACATTGGTGGAGCGGCTTCGACGGGTGTGGCTTTACTCCACATCCACTCCAGTGTCCTGACAGTGGCTAAAGGAGCACGGCCCGGAGTCAACAAGGCTGTGGTGGTGGTGACAGATGGTTCAGGCGGGGATGATGCTGTCGTGCCAGCTCAGAAGATAAGGAACAGTGGAGTTTCATTGTTTGTGGTAGGTATTGGAGATGTGCAGAGAGAGCGGATGCTGCAGATTGCTGGTTCACAGGATCAAATCATCTCAGTACCTTCTTATGAGGATCTCAAATACTTTGAAGACGTGCTGGTGCAGATTCTGTGTTCAGGTGAGAATACAGGGAAATACCTGTTACCAGATATTCCCAGAACAGCTTTGTCACGCCTATTCTGTGGATAGGAGTAAGGTGCCAAGATAAAAATGTAATCTGCATTGTACTGTTTGTGATTTCAGAAATTCCTTTCATTAAGTCTCCTTTTCAGCCGTCTAAAAGTAGAAAGCAAATGAATAGATGCTCAGAGGAATATTAGTTTGTTTACATTATGGTGGTTTGCTGTTTTGTGGTCATTTTCTTTCTATCAGAGGTGAAGAAGCCAGTAAATCTTTGCAAGCCCAACCCTTGTATGAATGATGGGATCTGCATCTTGTCAGGAGGGAGCTTCCGCTGTCAGTGCCAGGGCTACGAAGGACCACACTGTGAAATAAGTCAGTTATTCCTTCATTCCTACCTTCCTGCTTTCCTTTGTGGTGCTATGACCTATTCTGTGGTTTTGTTCATAGGAAGCAGCAGGCCTCCATCCAGAGGAGATCTTCCGAGGTCTGCTGGTCTAAGGACGAAGCGCAGGCAGAAGAAGAGCAACCAGTAGCATCTCTACAAACTGCACTGTAGGAGAAATGCTGCCTGACACACGATACACACATACTACAATACAGAAACAAATCACCTAGGGACACTCATGAACCAAGGGAGTTTGTGGGTGCTCGCTGGTGTCAAGAGAAAACTAATGCTGCTGTTTCAGTATTTAAACTTTCACTCAGACTTCAACAAGTGCCGTCAAACTGTATGCACCTATACTGCAGTTTGAATAGTTTACTAGTTTGTTGTTAAATGTGTGAGCTATCACTGTTGCACAATTGTCTCAACATGGTTCTTTGGTCTATATAAAGATGTAAACTTTTATATTATAATGTATATCTGTGTGATGATTTCATTATTTTTAATGTATACTCCCCTCACCTCAACCAAAAAACACTATATGCCTTCCAAGACATTTGCCAGACATGCATCCACTGAATGAATTCCCCTCGTGACTATTTTATTTTCATCAGTGAGAAATTAAATGCTTTTACTCTCATTATAATTTTAATGTTTAATACTACAGGTTTTCTTTGTCTTGTACAAACTGTATTAAAGTAAACCTTTCAGTCCACTTTCAACAGACAAGCTGGACTGATAGCTTAGAAGCAAAAGGAGATATTTCCGTATTGTCAGTATATTTTTATTTTAATAAAAGGTGCATTTTTAGCTAGCAGTACAAGCCAACGGGCGGAATAATGGTGAAAATATATTTACATCTTGGCTACCAGCATATATGAACCAAGCTACATTCTATAGTATAAATGGCCACTTTAGTATTTGGGTGTCTCCAGCTTCTCCAGCTTCAGTGGTTTCAAATGCTTGCAGGGTTGAAACATCTCAGTTATGCAGCATTATTGAGAACAGCTGTTAAAATGGCCAAAATGCTACTACACCAAATTCAGCCCTCTAGATATGTCATTAAAACTGAGAATATCCAGTGGTATCCGGTCATCTCTGATTGGATGTCTCATTTATAGTCTTGGCAAGGAGGTGGTGATAATGAAGGATCCAGAGAACAGAGGAGAATGATCTAACGGTCTGGTCTACTAACTGTTGCTGACAACCGTCCAAACCAAGAGAGACAATGTCAGAGTAGGTCAGAGGATGTTTAGGTTGCCTTCTAGGTGGATGATTTCATCTCCCACTCCTATAAATATAAAATATGGAACAAACTGTAATCCATAATAGATAGTTTAAGATACACCTTAGTCATTTGTTCCCTGGCACTCATGTTTTCCATGTACATACAATCTGTAGTCTCACCTTGGCTTTCTGCAGGACGTTGCCTTTTGTGGACATGATGGAGGAAGGTCTGCATTTTAGAGCAGAGGCGGAGTTCACTGGAGAAGTTGCATCTGCACTGACGTTACTGTTGGACGGTTGTGATGATGACAGTGAAGTCTGAGGAGCAGCCAGGCTTGCTGCTTTAGGCTGAGGGTAAAATAATAGAAAGGTAGTTGATTAATGTTTTTAAAAAGTTTAAGATTCAGTTAAATAGAGAGAAGCGAATGGCTTCTGCTTGACAAATTGTTCACATACCCAGCAAATATTTGAATCAAAAACTGATTGGGCCCTGAATGATTAGCCCAACAGACCCAGCACACTAACCATGGGTGTGTCCTGGAGGCTGCTGTCCAGTGTGGTTCCCAGTGAGAAAGGTCCTGACTCCACCTTCTTCAGGTTTTCCTTCACTTCTACCAATTGAAGCTCGACGTCTACCCTGCGACGCTCTGCCTCTCGACATGCCTCCTCCTTCTGCTTCAGACGGGCTTCTAATGAGGCCTGCTGCTTGGGATCTGAGGAAAATGGAAGAGGCACCACTCATACAAATCAGTGAGAAATCTGTTGTCACAAGTGTCAAGTGCTACAGGAAGTGCAGAAGAACCTTGGCAGGCACAGAGCTCCTCTTTGGTCTCCCTCCGTTCTTTCTTCAGGTTTGCCAGATTGCTCCTCATATCCTCCCGTTCTCTCTCAAGACGATCGCGCTCTTCGAGGTAACGTTGCATGTCTGCCTCTGTGCGGTTCTTGCCCAGCTTCACTTCAGCTGCACTGGCACCCCCTGAGAATTCAAGGCTGACATTTTAGGTCATACACAATTTTAAAAAAGAGAAGAAATGCATTCATCTTGACATTTACCTGTGCAAAGAAAAATGAAAAAATATGCAATAAATCTAAATCTACATTGTCCTCTTAATAAGCTGTGCCTTTGGTTGTAGAGGATGCAGCTTTTCACTAGAGGGAGCCAAGATAATGTGAGATTACAGAGAAGGGGAAGCAGTTAAGTCCACTCAATGCAGAAGAAAATAGTCACAGCACCATTTTCTGCTTCATGTTGAAAATATATCACTATCTTCAAAAATGTGTGTGTGTTGGTAGTATAAGTGATATTGATGGGTGAAGAGAGGTCACTATCCCCCCCCCCCCCCCCCTAGTGTAAGCCTTGGGTCGGTGGGGCTGAGGACTGTGAGGGAACCCAGCAGCAGTCTGAACTGTTGGGCTTTTATGGATCTGTCCCCCGGAGGAGTTGAAGCCCTTTGGGATTCCCAGGCTTGTGCTTTTGGAGGTCTCCTGGCTTTGGGACAAGGTCTTTCCTGGCTGAGATTGTGGCTGCGGTGGAGTAGCTCTCAGGGAAGGCTCTTGTTCTTGTTGGCTGTTGGCTGAAGTTGAACTGGTTCCATTTAATACAGTTGTTGACTTTGAAGGGTTAGTTGAACTGAGCTGGAATAGATACACAGAATACAAAATTTGAAGGAAATGCATGCAAACAGAATTATTAAAAGCAACTGCTTACTTACTGAGTCACCACTAAGTGTCAGCTTGCTGAGGGACACAATATTCCTATTGCCTACCTCTTTACTTTGACATGAGGAGTCCTTCTGGTCCTCTACAGGGACTGGGGAATGGCTACAGTTTTCTTTTGCTGATGCACCTTGATCCCTCTTGGCTGTGTGAAGGAAGGAGCGCACAGGGATTATGTCCA